AACAATACAGATCCCGGTGAAATAACAATGGCAGCAGACCAGCAACTGGACAAGCTGCGTAAGATCGTATCTGATGCAGTGACCGAAGAAAAGCTGATCATCGACAACCTGCTCAACCCACCCAGGGAAATACTATCGCAAGGGCAGCGGATTTCAGATAAGGTAGCCCGCTTCGGTGGTAGCTGGACTTTTATTATCAGCTTTTTGGTGTTGCTGGCAGTATGGCTGGCTTATAATGCGACCGTTCCCGTAAAAGATCGCTTTGATCCATATCCCTTTATCCTGATGAACCTGGTGCTAAGCTGTATCGCTGCGTTGCAGGCACCCGTTGTGATGATGAGTCAGAACCGGCAGGAGGAGAAAGATCGCATCCGCGCAGAGAATGATTACCTCATCAATATGAAGGCGGAGCTTGAATTGCGCAGTCTGCATCAGAAGATGGACCTGTTATTAGAAGAGCAGGTACGCACCTTGCTGGAGACACAGGCCTCGCAAATGAAGTTGCTGAAAGAGATGCAGGAAAAGATCAATAAACTGAGCATTCCGTAGGGATAACATTATACTGATACAGAAAAAACATTTATAGATTGGAAAATAAGCAAGCAGTTGCCCTGTTCTGGTTCCGGAGAGATTTACGATTGGAAGATAATGCCGGTCTTTATCATGCATTGAAAGATCATGAATCCGTACTGCCCGTTTTTATATTTGATAAGAACATCCTGGATCAGCTCGATAACCGCGAAGACCGGCGTGTAGCATTCATCCATGAAACGATCAGCCGGATGCGACAAGAGTTGCAGGAAATAGGTTCTTCACTATTAGTGATACATAACACGCCTATAGAAGCATTTAAGGAAATTGCCGGGCAGTATAAGATAACCGCAGTATATGCGAATCATGATTATGAGCCATACGCGCTGAAGCGGGATCAGGAAATTGCCGGCTATCTGCAAACGCAGCATATTGAATTTAAAACGTTCAAGGACCAGGTGATCTTTGAGATGAATGAAGTTCTGAAGCCGGACAAAACGCCTTATACCATTTTTACTCCTTATTCCCGGATGTGGAAACAATTGCTGACTCCGTTTTACTATCAACCATACCCGGTTCAAAAGCGGGCGGGTCATTTCCTGAAAACGAAACCGTATAGCATTCCCTCCCTGAAGCAACTCGGGTTTAAGGAAATTGCGTCAAAGGCCGCGGACCGTGTCATTCATACAAGCATTATCCAGCATTATGAAGAGACGCGCAATCTTCCCGCCATTGACGGCACCTCGAGGCTAAGTGTACATCTGCGCTTTGGAACTGTAAGTATTCGTAAGCTGGTAAAAGTGGCGCTGGCGCACAATGAAACCTGGCTCAATGAGCTGATATGGCGGGAGTTTTTTATGTGCATCCTGTACCATTTTCCGCAAGTGGTCACGCAGAGTTTTAAGCAGAAATATGAGTTTATCCAGTGGCGGAACAACGAAGCGGAATTTGAAAAATGGTGTACCGGCAATACCGGTTATCCGATTGTAGATGCAGGCATGCGCGAACTGAAC